ATGAAAATGAAGGAAGAGATTGTTTTGTGGGAGTTGGCCAGATTATAGCAGCTTTTTGAGATGCTGCTCACAGAACACACGTGCACACAGGGGAAGATTTTGTAGAAGAGAGCATGAAAGGGAGGTGGAGAGATAGTGAAGAACTAAAAAAAGGTTAGCTGTATTTTCGCAAAAGAGAATGTCATAATATAATTGAACAAGATTGAATTAATAATTATGTAGTTATGGTGCAATGCAAACTTAAAATTCGAAACTCAAGTTACTTAAGACGGCCAGTACACTGATGTTAAAACATATGTAAGAAAAAAAGTCTAGTTTTGTATTCATAAATAGTCAAGTGACGTGAGAAGCATAGTTTGGTTGGTTTAGTTTTGTGTTCAATTCCTCGTCAACTGTCCCAGTCTATCAGCTATGAGCATTCACAGTACGGACACACAGACAGCACACAGCATCACACATAACAGAATGGTTGGCAGCAGACATACATAGGTGACATGTGGAAGAGGAGAGAAGCAAAAGCAAGTTTCTTTACCTCATTGTTCAACAAGGCGGCGCTGAGTGATCGGTTAATTTCAAACATATTCAGTGATTTGGGTGGTTCAGTCCTATTTTAGAAATGATCAGTTTCTCTTTAATTCTTTGCCTCCTCTCGGCGTCTGTCTCTCGTCAGCTGCGGAGTCAGTCCCAGCAAGAAAAAAAAAAGAAAGAAAAAGGAAATCAATTGGAAAAATAGGGGAAGAAAAATCCTGTTTTTTTCTTTAGATTTTTTAATTGTTTTTCGTTCAGTCCTGTGGTCTCTGCCCCTTTTCTGTTCACCGTTGTGGGCTGTGGCTGTGCTGGCGTCTGCCCGCTCTCCGCTCACGTCTAAGGAGTCAATATGTTGTTTTTAATCTCCTCAGAGTCAGCACATTAAAACAGGCGCTCAGGCAGTCGGTGGCTTGGGCTGGCTGGCTCCCTTATCTGTCCTCCGCACACTGGCTCACACAATACGCTCCGATCCTCACACTGCTCGCTAGCAGATTAGCCTGTCCCAAACATAGCAGTTAGTTTAAACTGCCCTCCCTTTAGCTATTCTCTCTCTCTTCTGCATCACTCCTCATGGCTCTTTCCTCCCTCTCTCACTCCGTTGCTCCTCACACCCCTCTCTCTCTCCCGATCGCCATCCTCCAAGTGCTCACGCATTTATGCAGCTACAGTTCGCCAAGCAACCACAAGATGGAAAGACTGTTCTAACAACGGCGAGAGCATTGTCACCCCATTGTACATCCATGACTTTCCAAAAGCATCTAAAGTTGAAGAGTATTTTTGATTTTTTTAAAATATATATATAATAATAATAATATGACTGAAAACAATGCTAGACTATGGGAAAATTGTACCATCACTTGACTTGACACAAATTCCCCACAAACTCTTCCTTTTACCACCCATAACTATATAGATAGAAAGAACACAAATTAAACAACAAGTTGATTTGAGTATAAATAATCCAGTATTTGGATGATTGATGTAAATGTGTAGTAATTTAATGCCTAATAATATTTCCTAATGAGCTGAAAGTGTAAGTTTACCTTGTGATTTTGGATGTCGCAATAAGACGGGAGGCGATTTCCTTTGCAGGGTAAATGACTATACAGAAAGGTCATGTGGATGTCCTCTGCTGGTGCCCGTCAGCAGGGTGTGGCACTCTTATGACGATGCAGCATGGCAGGAGATCCCGTCTGCACTATAAGGAAACAGGGAAAAGTCATCCGATGCCACAAAAATGACTCACCACATTCCCGCGTCGGTGACTCCATCCCAGTCTCAATCTCTGGCACACTGCAATGATGTGTTTTTGTGATTATTTATTATAGCTTTTTATTTGTTTTGTTTGATTGATTTGACTGTGCTTCTGTGCTCTTGGATCAGGCTGGAAGAAACAACAGCAGCCTATTGACACTCGACCATCTGCTTGATGGACAATGTCCAGCAAAGAGGAGGCGAGAGACACACAGGAAGTACCACAATTAGACAAAAAAAACACAAAACACAAGAAAGAGAGAGCGAGCAAGAGGGAGAGGGAGAGAAGAAGAGGAAGAGGAAGAGTGATCTGTTCATTTTAAACCTGCTTATATATTTTAAGTTTAACATTTCTTGAGTATGTTTAATGAAAAGAAAGCGAGGCAATCATTAACAACATTATCATCATATTAAAAGTATGTCTATAATACAATAGTAGAGAAAAAAACAGCAACACTGTTTCAATTATATGCTCTAACATTAGTTCACAAGTTCACTGGAATCAACAGCTTGAGTGAACATTCAAGACATTTCTCAAGTCGGATGTGGGAAATATAATTCATTTTGATAGTTAATGGGCATACTGGCTGAATGTTTTGTTTAATTTTTTTTTAATGAAATCTAATGTGTTTAGTCGGACTGTCTTGGCGGAGGGGACCCTTTAGAACATTGTGTTAAAATGAAACATGATTGATGTAAAATAGTTATCATCATTGTACAAAACCGCTACCAAATAAAGTGTAATAAAAACAAAATGTAGAAAAATGTAGAAAAACAACAACCTGTCATCTGCACTAAAGGCAAGTTTTACTGAGGATAGCTGTCTGTGGGGAGAGCCACACTGGAGCCTGGGGGGAGCTGTCAGTTGAATGATGTAGAGTGTGCGCTGATTCTTCAGTCAGCTGCTTCTCAAGGCTTCCTCTCTGACCCATGCTCTCCTCTGACCCCAGAATGCTGTCACCATAGTGATTCGCTGTGTACAGCCCATATTCCCATACCAGCCGGTCCCCTTCATCTCCAGCTCCCTATAAAAGTGTATACTTACACTTTGATTTGTGCTCCACTTCACTGATGACTTGATGTTTAGAGCTGGTTGTAGAAACACATGTTCTTCCTGTACCTACAGAAATATAATACAAACAAATATTTATTTAGATATTATATTCTGGTTAAAATAGTATTTTGCTGTACTGTTATCTTCCACAAATTCTGGTTTCTTGATAAAAGTTATAGAGTGGAAAGCATATTTCTGAAAGCATATTTTCCAGGGGCTATTGATTTGTCCTCCAAAGCCTTCAATGCTCTGATTGTATGAACCTGTTTTACAAAGACAAGGATGCCTGTCTTCCAGACATAGGAACAGTCAAAGATCAGATTGTTTTAAGAACATAAAAACAATATTGTGAGAAATTATTGTGTTCATCATAATATTTCTATACTTCTTTCTGGTATAATTGACAGTCTGTGACAAGAAGAATGCAAATCACCAACTCAAAAGACTATCTAGTTCATTTATATTTGCACTTGTTTTTTTAGGCATATTATGTGCATTAACATGACCATACAATGTGTACAGTTCCAGCTTCAGAGAGAAGCATTATGGCTTAAAGGGACGAGAAAATATAAGGTTGGGAAGGAATTTAGAAACAACATATTGTACAGATTGACCAACACAAATCAAGATGTAGGGACACGACCTATGTGGGGTACAGCAGGTTGTGTGCACAACGCACAATAACAAAAGGAATGCAATTCAAACAAATAGAATCATATTTATAGGACTGATGATGGATGAAAAGTAAACCTTACATAACTTAATATGTGTTGAAATGGTGACAAGATCACGTCATTTACTGAACACCACACTCTTTTCTTATCATTCCTATTGTTTATTCATAATGTCATATGTCTAATTATTGTGTTGAAGTCAGTATGGTGGGGGAAACTGTTACAAATCTCACTTAAAGCCTTTAATCACCTGCAAAAAAAGCCATTAGGATTGTACCTATTATCCACTATAGACATAATTCTCGACAGACAGTAGCTCAGTTGGTAGAGCGTTGGCCTTTGGGCCTGAAGGTCGTGGGTTCAAGCCCACCGTAAGACCTACTTCACGACTCCCACTGATGACTGCTGTCGTTGTGTCCTTGGGCAAGACACTTAACCCCACTTTGCCTGAACTCCCACTGAAAGATCTCAGCTCCTGTGGACTCACCACCTGCAGGAGGATCAGTGAGGGGCTGGTGCTAAGTGTACTGGGTGCAGCTCTGACTGCCACCCCCCTGACCCAGAAATGGATTAAGGGGAAGAAAATGGATGGATGGATGGACATAATTCTAATCCACTGTTCATAGATTTAAAATAACTGCAACTGTACAACTTGATTAACTTTAAAACTACTCAAACTTATTCCATGATAAAGATGCCAACCTACGCCAATTAAGACAGCTGTTAAAACTTCAACTATTAACCCTTTTCCAAGCCTCGTTCTGGCGTCACTCTTGTCTGCTCCCGCGTCACAACCACCACCTCCCCACCTCCCCACCTCCTCCTTGACCTTCGAGCGCACACTCTCATCACATCTTCACACTCATGCCACCACCAGCTAGGTCCCGGGGGATTTTAAGCGGCACACAAGTAATGATCGACAAAGTGCTGCAGCCGGGGCATAGGGTGGCAAACAAACAAATGACTGAATAAATCATTTCACGCAATTTTGTGTCAGTGTAGTCTCTCCAGATTGAAATAGGATTAGATCGTGTGTCATCAAAATACTCTTGAAGGTAGTATCAAGCAGACTAGCAAGAAAGCAGGTTTAGTTAATTTAGTTAATTAACTTAATATCTTGACTGTATTATGTGAATAATTCTAGAAAGCAAGAAATAACTAAATTATATCAATAGTGCATTTAGGTTTAAGCCAAACTAGCATTATTAACTCTGTTTAGAATCACGTTCAGAACGACGTTCAGAACACGTGGATGATTAACCTAACGCGTGGGTCTTTGATAGTTAGCTAGCTAATTACTTTTATTTTAGTCTGCCTATACATATTAGTAGTAATACTCATGTTTAAACTATGTTCTTGTGATAATACTTGCCAGCCAATATTTGTGCCGTGATCAGAACGCGCGCGATAGAGATGACTTCACCCCTGCACGCGCTTCCTCTGTTGTCCTGGCAACGCGGGGAGAGCGTCGGCTGTGTTAGCAGAGGAAGATGGAGGAGCGCTCTACTAGAGACGGAGAGACTGGTATGTGATTACTGAGCCTAATATAGTCCATATATATTAGATTTGTTTCTCCTAAATGAAGACAGCATCGCTGCAATTTCCAACATCAGCACTGTGCAAGTTTGGAAGTCGTTCGGGACATAATACAGAGGTTATTAGCAAGCTAGTGCTATATGCTATAACTATTCTAGCTAGGTTAGCTGAATGTATTGCTTAGCATAACAATCTATACTTCTATTTGCGTCAGGTTTGTGTATGATTGTGAGTGGTACAGTATCTCCAAAGCCTCAAATCAAATAATCACTAAGCATTGATGCACCTAGCACCCTGTTTTCTGAAGGAGAAGAGCGTGTGTGAGAACTGGCAGTTGTTCACCTGAGCAGAAGTTATGAGAAAAGGAAGCAGCAGGACTCAGGATTCATACATTTAGCGTTACTATGACGCAGTTTCAGACACTAAAAACAAAAATGCAATACTTACTAAACTACGTTTTTGTGTGGTTGTTATTCAACTCTTGTTAAGTTAAACACATTTCTTGTGTGTTCTACAGGCAGTGAAACTGGAGTAGAGGACGCTTTGGTGGGAAATGTCAATAAGCTGACTGTGGGCCCACCAGGTTTCTCTGGTCCCCCACGTAAAGGCCATCTGGTTTTTGATGCTTGCTTTGAGAGTGGTGAGTAGCTTAACTAAGCATGCTGAAAAAACCCCCCAAAAACATCCAAATCCGCTAATAACAAAATCCAATATTGATAGCTATATTAGTCCGTTGTCAGATAGAAAGGAACAGTTAGCCAAAATGTGTTCATAACTTTGCAGTTTTTTTTTCAGCATACATCATATGACATGTAAATGTAGGTCTTATGGTCCATTCACAGATCATCTCTTTTAATGTTTTTATCCTAAATAATGTTTATTTTTTACTGAAACCAAGAGGTGGACAGACACTGAATTACAAGCACAGATTGCGTTGCCATGGGCAGCGGTCATTATTAGTTTGAGAGGTCCGTCATCAAGATATACTGACCTGTATAACGTTTTGAAATTACATTCAAATTAATGGAGCGTTCGACTGTGATCTGTAATAAATTTTGATTCAATATTTGAATATATTTGAATATTTAAATTAATAAACAAACAAACATTGAATACGATTTTTGTGCAAAAGTCAAAGCCCTAGAGGACACATTTCCCAACGACGATTATAAAGAAAAACTTAAAAAGCATTATCTTATACAAATATGTGCCAAAGTCGATTGATGAATAATAGCAGAACAAACAGTTAGGAGAAGTGGACTATAAAGTAAAACTTAAAAAGATTATCTTATACAAATACAGTATGTGCCGAAGTCGATTGATGAATGATAGCAGAAAAAACAGTTAGGAGAAGTGGATCCATCATCATTTTACAAACTCTCTCTGCACCTGCCTCTTCTTCTCTGTTGCATGTTGTCTTTGTGAGGTTCATTGTATCTGTTCTCTGTTGTATGTTCTGGTGGGAACGCCTGGCATCACCTTTGTATGTGGGATGCCCTTGAGCATGGTTTGGAGTAGGCCATAAGGCCTTTCTCTCCTGTGTATGCATGAACACAGCTTCAGGTGCATTGGCTGTCTATCTTCACAAGGTTTGAATATACAATTTGAGATAAGCTTACATAAGAAATTTGACAAAAACTGGGGAAAATGTTGTATGATTGTTTTAATTCAAATTGCAAAACCCCAATCTTTCACCATAAGTCATATTATGTTTTTTGTTTCTCTTTTAATCATGCATCATGATTTTCATGTTGATGAGTCACTGAAGTACTTGTTTTGAATTACGGTTTGTGCTTCAAAAAACCCCAGAGAAGCACAGACATTGATTCATGGAGATCAGTTAACACACCACTATCCCTGGCTCCGGATGTATCCTCTGAATGTTCTATGAAATTGATATTAATCTCTTTCCGGTTCTAAAATTCTGAGATGATGTAAAATTGGGCAAACACACGTAATAGTACAATAAATACATTATATCAGAGTGATAGTCTGGAACTCTAAATTAATTACAAATTTTAAGAATTTGTAGAACCTCCTCCTTAAATGTTGATATAAAATACTGTCCAGAGTCATTAGTATTTTACACCTGCAGTACAAGCACAGAGTGCGTTGCCAAAGGGCATCGGTCATTATTGGTTATCAAGAAATAATGATCGGTAGAACATTTTGAAATTACATTCAAGTCAATGGAGCGTTCTGCTGCTGTGAAGAGCTGTATAATAAAAAAATATGAATATATATTCAAATATTTAAATTAATAATCTCTCCTCTGGCACATGCACAAAAATGTAGGCGCAGCTTCAAGACCAATCAGAAAGGAAGGGGGAGGGAGGTAGGGTCGTTTTTCTCAAATCATGTACCTCTCTCTCTTTTTTTGAAAAAGTCCAGACTATCAATTTAATGACATTTGCGTTGCTATGAATACACAGTTCAGTCTATTTTCAATATTTTGCATATTGAGTGAATAGTATATAGACTGTATTAGTCTTTATTATCAGGTTGTCCTGTGCCAATGACAGGAAGGAAATTGGAGACTGTAGTGCTTTGATTGTATTCAATGCATGTTGCATAGCCCACATGCTTTGCTCAAAGATATTGGAATGGTTTTACATGACAGTTGCTTTATATTTATACATGTTAGCCATCCAAAGGCACATTACACAGCACTCTTTTTGCACATAGATACATTCATTTAAAATATCTTTTGAGGATGTGTTTGATGTATGTTATGTATTGCACAACACTTAATAAGTTCACTTTGGAGAGACCCATGAGGAAGATGCCGTTAGACTTATTAGATTTAAGCATGTTTATGATTGAGCATGTTTGGCGCCCTAGGCCCGGGAGGGATGCTGTTGAGCACGGCGCTTGCTCGCGTGCATAATCCCCCCGGGGCCTAGGTACTGGTGACGGCAGAGGCAGTAGGCAAGCGCGCTTCGATGAGAGAAGGAGGAGGTGGGGCGGCGGAGGCTTGCAGACTTCAGAAGGCCGGAAAGTGGGCATCTCCGGCTTTTAACTTGCTGTCCTGGTGGTTATTGGTTGACTGGATGTGGGCGTTGCTGGTATTGATGAGTCGAGGAAGAGCAGCCTGTGGCCTGGGCAGCAAGCAGCCGGGTCTACCACAGTGAACTTTCGCGAAGCTCCATTTCACTTTGGAGAGACCCATGAGGAAGATGCCGTTAGACTTATTAGATTTAAGCATGTTTATGATTGAGCATGTTTGGCGCCCTAGGCCCGGGAGGGATGCTGTTGAGCACGGCGCTTGCTCGCGTGCATAATCCCCAAAAAGCGGGCCTGCAATTGGGGTAGCAGGATGTACTGCGCGGGCCTGAGAGCATGAGTGAGGCTTCTCGCACGGTCGCTTCGGCCGGCTGCGTCCGCTGGGGCCCGTGTTTGTTTAGGCAGAGCGAGCTGAGGATATGAGCGTGCTCATATTCAGCTAGACGCTGAAGCAGAGGAATCTTTGAGCGAACTGGAAACATGCGCGCACGCGCATGTTCAGCCAGTCGCAGCGTAGGGGAGTCTTTGAGCGAGCTGGGAATATGAGATGCACGCTCATATTCGCCAGACGCTGAAGCCAAAATCTTTGAGCGAACTGGGAACATGCGCGCACGCGCATGTTCAGCCAGTCGCAGCGCAGGGGAGTCTTTGAGCGAGCTGGGAATATGAGATGCACGCTCATATTCGCCAGACGCTGAAGCGCTGCAGCAGAGGAATCTTTGAGCGAGCTGAGACATGCGCGTTTGAGGAAGTGCGTGCCGCCACCAGAATATATTGCTTACTTGCTTTGCTGGGAGCTTACGAGAAAGCCGGTAAACGTTGAGCGGCCATGATAGCGGTCGCATCTGGCCTGATGTAGGTGGAGAAAGCCGAAGAGGACCAGCGCCCCAGCTGTTGTAGAGAAGAGTGGGGGAGCCCCAGCGAGGCCGCGACCACTGGGAATGTCTCGTGTAGGGCAGAGGAAATGCTCCGGGGAAAAGTAGCGGGCCACGGCCCCGCCAACCACTGGTCCTGGGAGAACCCCCCAAAACCCACGGAAGGGGCAGCGGCCGTGTAGAAGCGGAGACCTGTAGGGGCAGAGAGACATACCGAGGAGGGCCAATGATGTTGCAGGCGCCCTTACGCTTAGAATCTGGGGTTGGAGATTAGATAATCAGGACAGTAGGATAGGTCGGGAAAGCGTGTCTCGGACCGCATTGAAGGTTGAGTGAGCAGTAGTGAAACGCTTATGCAGAGAAGCCATAGAAGGCGAGCAGGAAGATGCTGCGAGGAGGGCAGACATGTACTTGGACGATGAGCCGGAGTTCAGTGCCGCTCAGAGCTGCTGCAGGATGGGCGGCAGGATGGGGAGCCTGCAATCAGAAGAGTGAAAATTACGGGTACGGATGCCTTTGAGTAGGAGTTTGATTGACAGCTCAGCAGTAAAGAGAGATGTAAAGTGAAGAGACGTCAAAGTAAATGAAGCAGTAGCAGCAGCAGTGTTGCAGCAGTGGTTGCAGCAGTAGCAGTAGCAACAGCAGCAGTTGCAGCATCCTTAGATAATAACAGCAATAATCCTGTATCAAGGCCACAGCAGTAGAAATTGTTGTAGCTGTTTAGTGTTTCAGAAAGAGAGATGTAAAGGGAAGAGAGATGTCAAGTAAATGAAGCAGCAGCAGCAAGCAGTATGAAGCTTCCAACGTGGTTTTACTGCAAGTGGCAGAACATGAATCTGAATTAATGCACGTGCTCCTCTTATATCCCTCAGACGATGGATATTGATACCATTTAACATGCGTTGCCCCTCAGTTAGCTCAAACACAAGTGAAAACGAAGCCTGCAGTCCAGTGTACGGGGCAAAAACCAAGCCCGCAGTCCAGACTCCGGGATTAATCCGTCCGCGGTCGGCACACTCACTGTACTCACATGCCAGGAGACTTGGGAAAAGTAACGGGACAACGCGGCCCGCCAGACCGTCTGCGCGCGGCAGCAGACCACGAGGAACGAGCAGCACAGAACCCGCGGAGGGCCCCACGGAGAGCCCGCAGAAAGAGCCCGCAGAAGAGGAGAGCTGTGGAGACGCGCGAACCACAGCAGGCAGGGACGCAAAGGAGGAGCAGACCACAAGCAGCCAGACTGAGAACAGCCGGGCCACGCGCACGAGCAACACGTGAGCAGAAGCGACCCCTCCAGAACAACGCATGCATTTGCGAACAGGTGCGTTAGCGACATGCACCTTGCAGACTTCAGAAGGCCGGAAAGTGGGCATCTCCGGCTTTTAACTTGCTGTCCTGGTGGTTATTGGTTGACTGGATGTGGGCGACAGTAGCTCAGTTGGTAGAGCATTGGCCTTAAGGCCAGAAGGTCGTGGGTTCAATTCCCACCTCTGCACCTTCTCCACCGACTCCCACTGATGACTGCTGTCGTTGTGTCCTTGGGCAAGACACTTAACCCCACTTTGCCCAAAGCCCCCACTGAAAGATCAAGGCTATGCTCACACTCAGAGAGCAGCCGTCCTCCTGTGGACTCACCACCTGCAGAGGGTCAGTGAGGGGCTGGTGCTATGAGACTTGGGTGGCATCTCTGATTGCCACCCCCCTGACCCAGAAATGGATTAAAGGGTAGAAAATGGATGGATGGATGGATGGATGTGGGCGT